TTAAAATGAAGCTGGTCCTTAGGTTGTTGGTTCCCGATAAAAATATCACAATTATAGAAACTTGTAGGCATCTGTTACTTTCACTACCAAATCTGTTGAGTACAAACATGTCCAACCATGCATTAAACGATAAAACTTGCAGTACTAACGATGTCACAAGGAATTGTATCCAAATTTGTGAGTTCCACAGGGACACACACACCTAAAATTGCTATGGCAACAGAAATAAATAAACAAAAACAGTTGAAATGAAACTAAAACAAATACACAAAGTACAAGTTTAGAAGAAATTGTATTTTATATTTTGAAACCATGAATTTTTATCTTGAATGTTTAATATTATGAATATTATATGCATTCATGATGATATGTATTCCGCATACAAACGCTGGATGCACCGGTTACTAAGATTTTATGCAGTTTTAAAGTCCCATATTTAACACGTGACCTGGAAACTTTGCTGCACTGTTAATTTTAACTAACGTATATTTTTTTTACTAAATATTCATGTAGTGTGTTTTCTTTTGATTACCCTACAAAACTTTTAAATTCATTTATGATTTATCAAAATAAAGAGGTTTACATTATTATTATACATTTTGAGGAAAACACAATTTATTTGATTATAATTATTACACTATAAATGCTGATCTAATTTCAAACTGAGGAACTTTTATTATTTCTCATTCAATTTATAAATTTGAAAATGACCTGGTGGCATTTAATACCTTATTAACTGGACAGGTTCTGAAATGATCAATGACATTACAAATACATCAGTATGGTCATGTACTAATGCATTAATGCAAACCTTAGCAACATTTTCCCCCTGCTTCAGCAAGCCACCACCCCCAAGGCATTACACATGGTATAACCCATCTATAGAAAACAGGGTTGTCTCATTATGAAAGAGGTGAGAAGATTGTTATAATTAATTTTACCTCCTATTAATATCTGCTGACACTTGTTCCAGTGATCTATTTTTAGTTTCTGGTACAAATAAATATACAAACACAATGGACGCTGCACAGATAAAACCATACAATATAAAAGTCCATGATATACCTAACCCATCTGAAAGAGAAAAAGTTAAACAAAATTGAAAATTCTGAGGTGGTCCTTGTGTATAAGCCCACCCCCTACTTTCCCTAATTTTACATTTTGAGGCCCCTGGGCTTATGACTGGGGAAGTATGGTATATGACAGTTAGGTACAAAAACATGTTGTATGATCTTCAATGTATATTTCATTAAAATATTCGTACAGTGTGTTTTCTTTATGTCTGTATGTGTGTTAATTTGCTTTGTAATTTCTTACATGCATTTTCGCAATATCAACAAGTCCGAAACAAAGTAAGTACTGATGATACTTACTAACAAGATTAAGAAATGTCAAAGAAATCACCAAGTTGGTACCCCAATTAACAACTGTTGCAAATGACGTCGCCCGTCCTCTTATTCCAGATGGAAAAATTTCACTCAACAAAATCCAGGTAACTGAAAATGAAAACGAGAAAGTTAACAATGACGTCAACGACAACAGATGGGAAGGCAAACGAGTATCACATGATAATACCAGCTGGAAGTTAGTTAGCTTGAAAAAAATATTGGCGACTGAACAATTTTTTGTTGATTTTTAAATATATTTCTGTAATGTGTAAAAATGATAAATTAGAGACAACAATGACAGATGGAAAGACAGACAACTACATGTCACCTGTGCGTCAGATTGCCATAGCGTGTCATTGTCTACAAACAAGCGTCTACCCATGAGCCTTTGAGCTTTTAGCTTGTGTTGTTATCATCGCTTGGGACTCAATTCCCGCGCGTGCGCAGGTGACGAGTGTCCCGCTATATACTAGTAAGACATTTGTGCTATTGTTGTATATAATCTCAAAATATACATGTACAACTGTACAGTGTACATATGCCAAAAACAAGTCATTGTCAATGACACGTCCCCGTTCCGTTCATATTTGAGTGACATATACATTCAAAGCAGATCATGACCGAAATGCACCTGCATATGTACAACACATTGTGCTAAATCTGAACAAAATCCATCCATGCATGACTGAGATCCGGTTCTGGAATTGTGAAAATACGTGATTTTGATGCATTTTCGGCCTTAAAATGGCCATCATTCCGCTATTGTTAAGCAGATCATGAAACAAATGCACATATCTATTTGTGACATGATGTACCATGTGTGTGTGAAGTTTGAACTTGATCAATCCAGACATGTCTTGGATACGGATCCAGAACTGAATTCTTTAACAAAATGGCCGCCAGTCGGCCATTTCGAACTTGATCCGAAAAAAAAAGACGTGCAT